AGAGATCTACAGAATATGGCATTTAAGATGTTTAATAACCTAAGGCTTGTCATGACAGTGAGACATGTCTGCTCCTGGAAGCATCAATCTACTTCACAAAATGATGATGAGGATCGAAGAACCTCCATATGGAGTTTGCTTTCAGTGTTGCAAAGCTAGCTATATGGGTAAGAAACTGTCCTTGCCGGGCAGTGGTGGTGCACACCTTTAATCCCAGCACTCAGGAGGCAGAGCCAAGCAGATCTCTGTGAGTTCGAGGCTAGTCTGGTCTACAGAGCGATATCCAGGACAGGCACCAAAAACTACACGGAGAAACCCTGTCTCAAAAAGCCAAAAAAAAAAAAAAAAAAAAAAAAAAAAAGAAAGAAAGAAAAAGAAAAGAAACTGTCCTTGCCCCAACTGTTGACAGTTACTGTCTAAACCGGACATGCAGAACACAAAGGAAAGTGACTGCTGGACTTTGTCAAGGCAAGGTGGGACAGTCCACCAGATAGTCCAGGCCTCTAGGCTGAAGATGGACGCCCCAACGTTGCAGAGAAATCTTGGGTGACTGTCCAGGCAGCCAGATGTCTCTGTCGTTTCTACAGTTTTGGAAGTGGCTTGCGCGTGCTGCACCTCCTGTTTACTCAGGTAATATATACCCTTCTGAGGTCTTTGATAGAGTTGAAGAGTAGACAGTTATAGTTATAATTTTCCTTAGTTATGATAGAAGGTAAATTAGGTACAAAACTCCTGTTTACTAAGGTAATATTATACTATATTATATTATAATATATAGTTATAGTTATAATTTTCCTTAGTAATGATAGAAGGTAAATTAGGTACAAAACTTTGGACTCACCAAGATAGGCTAGATAAGGGAGTATTTTCTCTGAACTTGTCAAATGCAAATGGACTGGATATTGTGAATTCAATTCTTACTTGATAATTGTTCTCATTGTATATAGTTTTACTATGTTAAAGTTAAAACCTTTCCTTTTTATTTAGAGAAAAAGGGGGGAATGTTGTGGAATAGAATGTTTAACTATGTAAAGATGTGTTACTTTTGTTTATGCTGTATTTGTTTAACTAGGTAAAGATATGTTGCTGTTTTACCTTGCCTGCCTAAGGCACCTGATTGGTCTAATAAAAGCTGAATAGCTAATATTATATTACATAGTAATAGCCAGTAGCTAGGCAGAGTAGGGATAGGCAGGGCTGGTGGGCAGAGAGAGTAAATAGGAAGAGGAATATAGATTTGAGGGACAAGGGAGAAAAAGAGGAAGATGCCTGGGGCCAGCTAGCCAGGCAGCCGCCAGACAGACAGACAGACACAGAGGAAGCAGGAAAGTAGGACATACAGAAGGAAAGAAAGGTAAAAAGTCCTGAGGCAAAACGTAGATGAAGAAAAACAGGTTAAATTAAGTTATAAGAGCTAGTGGGGCAAGGATAAGACAAGACTGAGCTTTCATAATGTCTCCATTTCATGATTTGGGGGCTGGTGTTTCAAGAAAGCCTGCTCCAGAGGTGTAGTGTAATAAACTTTTGGTTCACTGTGAAGAAGTGTCTTCTTGCAAAGGCGCCTTCTAATTGCTTTAATGAAGAACTGAATGGCCACTAGCTAGGCAGGAAGAGGTAGGCAGGACTCCAGGCAGAGAGAAGAGCTGAATCTAGGCACAGGGGAGACGCCAGAGGACACAAGAGGAAGCAGGACATACAGGAGGAGAGGTAAAAGCCACGAGCCACACGGCAGCACGTAGATTAAGAGAAATGGGTTAATTTAAATTATGAGATAATTAGAAACAAGCCTTAGCTAAGGCCAAGCTTTCATAATTAATAATAAGTCTCTGCATCATGATTTTGGGGCTGGTGGTCCAAGAAAGCCTGCTACACAGAGGCTTACCCTTTTACCTACTTTCTTGTTGTCATCAACCTTAATTTAGTTTCATTTTGTGCTCAGCACAAAGGGCCTTCATCGTGGTTGGATGTAAGTACACAAAAGTGGGCATGGTGATTGTCTAAGGCTTTGACAGCATTGTGAATACTATATGTTAGGTAATCGTAAATGAAGAGGTTTTGACAGCTTTGTGGATGCTATATGCTAAGTAATTGTGAATGAAGAGGTTTCTCAGAGCTCTTGTAAAGCAGTCAGTATGTACTCCATCTCTGAGCACAGGGTCTAATTATATATCCCTGGATATATAGGATTTAGTACTTTCTTCTGACCTCTGAGGGCACCAGATCCCCAGGAACTAGAGTTACAGATGGTTGTGAGCCACCATGTGGGTGCTGGGAACTGAACCTGGGCCCTCTGGAAGAGCAGGCAGTGATCTTACTCTCTCACCCATGTATCTATCCCCCAAAGAGCAATTTTTAAAATCAAGACTTCTAACACAATTATAACCAAAGGTACACTAATTTACTATGCACTGGAGGATGATATAAAAAGGTTCAGAGTTGTCAATTGTCTCTGCCAATAGCTCAAGCTTATTACTAACTAGCTCTTACATTTAAATTAACCCGTTTCTATTCATCTGTGTATTTACTGCCACGTGGCCGTGGCTTTACTTGTCCTCTAGCATCTTGTTTCTTGGTTGGCTGGCTCACGTCTCTCCGACTCTGCCTTTCTTTATCTGAGTCCTCAATTGGATTGTCCCGCCTAACTTTATCCTGCCTTGCTATAGGCCAATCAGCTTTTTTATTACCCAATGAGTGTAATACATATTCACAGTGTAGAAAAGGGACCCATAACCAACTGTAACTGGAGCTCCAGGAATCCCATGCCTCTGGCCTCCTTGGGCACCTGCACTCTCAAGCACATGCAGACACACATACCTAAAAATAATTTGAAATAATAAAAATTAAAAATTTTAAAACTTTTTTTTTTTTTTTTTTTTTTTTGGTTTTTTCGAGACAGGGTTTCTCTGTGTAGCTTTGCGCCTTTCCTGGAACTCGCTTTGTAGACCAGGCTGGCCTCGAACTCACAGAGATCCGCCTGCCTCTGCCTCCCGAGTGCTGGGATTAAAGGCGTGCGCCACCACCGCCCGGCCTAAATTTTAAAACTTTTAAAGGCCTCTGTTTAACATGCCAAGACATTGGTGTTTCTACCAAAGCAGAAAACTTTGTACACATAATGAAAACACAACATACAGTATAGTCTCAAACTTGAGAAAGTTTTGTATTTCTTTCTTGCTTGCTTGCTTGCTTTTTTTTGGTTTTTTGGTTTTTCGAGACAGGGTTTCTCTGTGTAGCTTCAGAGCCTGTCCTGGAACTTACTCTGTAGACCAGGCCGGCCTCAAACTCACAGAGATCCACCTGCCTCTGCATCCCAGAGTGCTGGGATCAAAGGCATGTGCCACCACAGCCTGGCAAGTATTTTTTTTAATTAATTAATTAATTTATTTATTTATTTTGGTTTTGGTTTTTCAAGACAAGGTCTCTCAGTATAGCCCTGTCTTTCTTGGAACTCACTCTGAGACCAGGCTGGCCTCAAACTCACAGAGAACTGCCTGCCTCTGCTTTCCAAGTTCTGGGACTAAAGGCGAGTACCACCACCGCCCAGCTTAGGCAGTGTTTATTTAGCAGTATCCATATTTTGTGTTCAGAACCAAGGCTAGGGCTGGTAAGATGGCATGGTGGGCAGAAGTATTGTTTCAAAAGCCTGAGGAACTAAATTATACCTCAGGGTGGAAGGAGTTAATTGAGTCCTAAAAGTTGTCCACTGTCCTCCACATGTGTGGTATGGTATGCAAGTGCCTGCATTCACACACGCACACACACAAATTGAGACCCTGCCAAAAATCAAAAGCAAGCAAAGAACCAATGCTACAATGGTAGCTTAGCTCAACATGGCCAAGTGTGGCCTGAGACACCTTGGGTCACTGCCTTTGATTTTGAATTAATTTTGGTCACTGAATATTCAGAAACCTATTATTACTATTGCCAGCTTTTTGGTAACCCCCACATTGAGTCACAGGACCCCATATGAATGAAACCCACAATTTTAAAAAAGCATCAATTAGATATTACTTCCTTGAACTCCTGAGAGCACAGGGAAGGGTGGCAGCACAGGGCTTATACTTTTTCTGGCTGTGTCTATCAACTCTTTGTTGGTTGTCATTTTTGCCTCAGAGCCTCATTTTTTTCTCCTGTGAAGTAGATTTATGTAGTAACTACATTATGAATTTTGGGAAGATCTTTAAAAAACCTGAAGTATTCCATGCAGGCCAGCACACTCTGTAACTGTTCCTAGGTGAATCTCTCTTCCCTAAATGGGTATGGTCTCTACCCAGATTTCCTTTGACGTTTTAAAGGGATAGTTAACATCAGCAGAGTTGGGGACTGGAAAGATAGCTCAGCCCTTAAGTCCTCTTGCAGAGGACCACGGTTCAATTCCCAGAATCCACACGGTGGTTCACAACCATCCATAACTTCAGTTCTAGGGGATCTGATGACCTCTTCTGACCTCTGAGGGCACCATGAACACATGTGGTGACAGACGTAGGTCCTGGTGAAACACATAAGATAAAGTGAATGAATCTAAAAACTGCACAAAACATCAACAGAATAGCCATGAGCTTCAGGCAAGAGAGAATCCTAGAAAGCTGGCAGTGATCTGAGCCTGCTGGTGGTGGCTACATGGGAATTAAAGGGGTTGAGAGGGGGAATCCATAGAATTACTTTCATTCAGGCCTTATAGTGTTTCTCTGTAATCCTAGCACTTGGGAGATGTAGCAAGGAGATGAGTTCAAGGTTAGCCTCCACTAGATAATGCCTGTCTCAAGATAAAAAACAAACATAAAAACCAAAGGAAATTACTTTTGACCTTCAAGTCATCAAATTTACCTCACTAGTTAACTAAAGGCCGCTGGGGCGAAACTACATAAAGCATCCTGAATCTCTTAGGCTCATTTGAGGCTTAACTGCCACACTTCAGATGGCGACGGACACCCTCCTCCCAATTGCACTGTGCCACATTAAACATGGCGACTCACGCGCTATCGCGGTTCCGCTTCCGGTTCCCCAGTCCGTCCGGCGGCCTGCACGCTCCTACCCTACCGGGAGCCGCCATGGCCGACAATCCTGTGTTGGAGCTGTTGCTGAGGCGGCTGGAGGCGGCTGATGGCGGCCTGGACAGCGCGGAGCTGGCTGCTCAGCTGGGCGTGGAGCACCAGGTGGTGGTGGGCGCGGTGAAGAGCCTGCAGGCTCTGGGTGAGGTGAGCTCGGCGCGTGCCGCTGGCCCGCGTCGCTTTTACCCCTGTAGCCCATTATGGCTGCTTAAGGAAGTTGCATGTAAGTGCACTGTGGGGTGAGCAGGTGGGAAGTCTGAACGATTTATGTTCCTCAAGCGACCAATGTCTATTAAGGCGAAAGCATGGCATGCATAGAGAGGAGATAGCTGCCCCGAAAGGGGTTGCAATCTAATGGGGAGGCGCAAATGACCTGAACGATGTGAGAGTTGTGTTCCCTTTGACATTTTAAAGGGGTAGTTAACATCAGCAGAGTTGGGGATTGGAAAGTAGCTCAGCCCTTAAGTCCTCTTGCAGAGGACCACGGTTCAATTCCCAGAATCCACACGGTGGTTCACAACCATCCATAACTTCAGTTCCAGCTGTGACGTTGACCTCGTGCTAGGGGATAGAGAGCCGGGATCTGGTGGAGTTAATAACTGGGTCAGGTCCGGTAGAGGAAAACGATGGCACTCAAGACATCAATGGCAGGGCATTGGTATCGGGATTACAGGCCGAAGCGACCGTCAGGGCAGACTTGCATGGACTTTAGGTTCCCTCATTCTCATTCATCTCCATATGAGGGCCTCCTTGTGCACTAGGCAAGAGCCGAACCACTGAAATATAGCTGCAGTCTGTGATGGAAATTGCTCTGTGGACCAGGCTGGCCTCCTACTTACAGAGATCTACTTGCTTCCAGAGGGCTGGGATTAAAGGCTATGCCTTTAACACTTAGCTCTACCCCGCTCCCCCCCTTTAAAAAAAAAAAACCAAAAAACAATTATTTGTGTTTATATGTGTGCCATCTTGATGAGGATGCCAGAAGAGGGTGTTGAATTCCCATGGCACTTAAGTTACAAATGGTTGTGAGCCTTCATGTAGGTGCTGGGAATTGAACCTGGTTCCTCTGCAGAGCTATTGCTCTTAACCACTGAAGCACTTCTCCAGCCTACTTTTTACTTTCTCTAATTTTTTAAAAATTTTTTTTTGTGGGTTTTTATTTTTGTCTGTTTTTCAGACAGGGTCTCTCTTACATGGCCCTGGCTATCCTGACACCTGCTATGTAGATCAGGCTAGCCTTAAACTCACAAAGATATACCTGCCTCTGCCTCTCATTGCTGTGATACTTTTTATTTTCATTTTGAAACAGGCTCTCACTCATCCAGGCTGGCCCTTGAACTCAATGTGTATATAGAACATTCTGGCCCTGAGCTTTCCATTTTCTTACCTTAGGTTCTCAGACAGCTGAGATCACAGGTTTTACCACCGTGCACAGCCTGCTTTGTATGTCTTTACCTCACAAGAATTGTGGAGGACCGTATTAGGAGCTGTAGCCAGCCAGATTGTGTTCTTTGTGAAGGACTGCCAGCCAAAACTGAGAGCTGGGGTGGAGTGCTGAGAACTGAGGCTGGCATATCGCCAGGCTGGAGGGCATGGTGTCTAGTGTGGGAGGCAGGTGACTGGAGAGTCAGGGCAAGGCAGGAACAGAGAGGAAGCCCATCCTTCCAGCATTGGCAAATGGACTGTGATGAAATGAGAGGTTTGTGGACCACTCAGGAAGCAAGATCCATGAGGCCAGGTTCTGGGCTGTTTATTTGTTGAGCACAAGTTTTGTACTCTGGTCTCAGTTTTGTTTTGTAATCCTTGCTGTAATCTTAGGATAATGACATCATTTTTAGGTCTTGACATAGGACAAATGATGTTTAGTGTAGGTAAGTGACACTCACCTCATGTCACTAGTTGTACATACTATAGTTCCAGTGTTCTCAGTATTGAGTCCAGGTCAAGATCGCAGTACAGGGCCAGGAGTACGGCTCAGTGGGTAAAGGCTCTTGCCATATTAGCCTGACAGCCGTGTTCAGTCCTTGCACACCTGTAATCCCATCTCCTTGTTAAGAAGCAAGGCAGACACAGGAGAATTGCCAGGAAGCTCTTGGCCTAGCAGCGCAGCAAAGAATAGAGACCCTCCTTCACCAGGCAGCACTCAGGAGGCAGAGGCAGGTGAGTCTCTGAGTTCGAGGCCAGCCTGGTCTACAGAGTGAGTTCCAGGACAGCCAGGGGTAAACAGAGAAACCCAGTCTCGACCCCCCCCCCCCCCCCCCCCCCCCCCCCCCCCCCCCCCCCCGCAAAAGAGAGCGAGACCCTCCCTCAACAAGGTGGAAGGCAAAAATTAAAAGCTATCCCCTGACTACACACACACACACACACACACACACACACACACACACACACGAGAAGAACTTTTAAAAGAAAGTTAGGATGTTGAGGGGGTGGGGTGGCTCATGCTTTCACCTCAGTATTCTTAAGCAGAGGCAGGTAGATCTCTGAGTTCAAGAATGGGCTATCCAGGAGGCATAGTGAAACCTGCCTCAAAATAAGTAAATAAATAAATGAAAACCATAAGAAGTGGAAGGGAAAAGGGGAAAAAACAGAAAAACATCTGTTCATGCTTGATGTTGGGGTCGGAGGTCAGGGTGAGTGTCTTAAGGGGCTGAAGGAGGAAGATGGCAGTGCATTGTACAAGTTACAGAAGGAAATTAAGGAGGCTGAGAAGCTCGGTAACCTGGAGAAGGTGCATCTGCTGCTCCTACAGTGGCAGCAGAGGTGAGTATTCACCACAGTAGCAGACACCCCCCATTGACTGGATGAGTTCTCCCTAGGAAAGCGTGGCCTCGCAAGCTGCACTTCTACACTTGTGTGGATACATTCTTGAAAGAACTGACTACCCAGAAACTGGAAAAAAGGGCATGCTTCAATTTTGCAACTGTTTTTATGTATCTTTAAAGACCTGGATATCTCATTGAGAGGGGTAGCATCCTGTCTGGCTGGAGAACAGTGATGGCTCTGTGACCCCCAAACCCAACACCACCTCCTTCAGGGCAGATGAAACCTCACTAACTTCTGTTGACCTTCTTGGTTTTACTTTTCAGCCGATTATGTAAAATAAACTTAGATATTCTTTTCCTCCCCTGATCCTTGCCATTAAGCTTTTAAATTCTAAACAAGTTAATGTATCTGTTCAGGAATTAAAGTTGGGTACTTTGATATATTATAGAAAGGCCATATGTTTCAAACCCTTCTGTAAAATATAAAGAGAATTGCTCTTAGCATACCAAAGGATTGGGGGGATGGCTCTGAGGAAGAGCACTTGGCACTAGACCTGAATTCAGGTCCACAGCACTCACGTGAAAGCTGAGTGTGAGCCTCTGCTACCCCAGCTGTTGAGTCACAGGGAGACAGGAGGATTGTTGATGTGCTTGTACCAGCGTAGATGAAAAATGGTGAGCCCCAGTTTCTTTGAGGGACCCTCTCAAGAGAGTAAGGCGGAGAGTGACAGAGCAGGACACCTGAATGGCTTCCTCTGGCCGCCAAGCACTTGTGTACCTGTGCGGACACATGTGTTTATACACTGTATACACACACACACACACACACACACACACACACACACACACACACACAAAAGAAAAACAAAGGCTTGAGATGTGTCTCAGTGGCAGAGTGCTAGTCTAGCATGCCCAGATGTTTGATTCCTCGCACTTAAGAATTTGTCTGCGCTGGGGTAATGGTGGGAGGGTGGGGGCCGTTCCTTCAATCCTAGCACTAGGAGGCAGAGGAACGTGGATCTCTTGAGTTTGAGGCATCGCCTGGTCTACATAGTGAGTTCCAGGACAGCCAGGGCTATACAGACAAACTTGGTTTCCAAAACAAAAAAGAAAAAAATAAATAAATAAAAGGAATTTGTCTACAGGTCTGCAGGGCTGGAAAGATGATTCAGAGGTTAAGAGCACTGGCTGCTCTTCCATAGCATCTATCTAGGTTTGGGTCCTAGCACCCACAAGTAACTAAAAACCACCTTTAATTCCAGCTCCAAGGGATCTGAAGCCCTCTGGCCTCTGTAGGCACCTGTTTACAAGTGGTGTACGTTGTAAAACGGAGGCTTTCTGTCCCGCCTGGTCCCACAGCTGCTTTTAAAATAATCACTCAGAGGCTTAATATTAATTACAAACTATTTGGCCTGTTACTCAGGCTTATCATTAACTAGCTCTTACAACTTAAATTAACCCATTTCTATTAATCTATGGTTTGCCATGTGTCTTGTGGCTTTACCTGTGTTCTAATACATCTTGCTCCTCTGGTGGCTGGCTGGTGTTTGTCCCCAACTCCACCCTTCTTTTCCCTGTATCTCTGCTTGGATTCTCCTGCCTGGCTCTATTGTGCCTTGCTATAGGCCAAAGTAGTGTCTTTATTTTATTTTATTCATTTATTTGAGACAGTGTTTCATTGTGTAGCTTTGGAGTCTGTCCTGGACCTCACTGTGTAGACCAGGCTGACCCCGAACTCACAGAGATCCGCCTATCTCTGCCTCCCAAGTGCTGAGATTAAAGGTGTGCACCACTACCACCCGGCCAGCTTCTTTATTAACGAATGGCAATAAAACATATTCACAGCATACAGAGGGGTTATCCCACAGCAGTACATAAAACTCATGCAGGAATACACACATACACATAAATTAAAAAAATGAATGGCTGGAGGCTAAAGAGATGGCTCAGGGGTTAGGAGCACTGGGGGCTCTTCCAGAGGACCTGGGTTCAATTCCCAGTACCCACAGGGTAGCTCACAGCTGTCTGTAGCTCCTGTTCCAGAAGATCTGACACCTTCACACCAATGCACATAAAATAAAATTAAATAAATTATGAAAAGGAAAATGAATGGCTGGGTAGTGGTGGCGGCGGCAGCACACTCTTTAATCCCAGCACTTGGGAGGCAGAGGCAGGCAGATCTCTGAGTTCCGGGATAGCCAAGAGCTATGTAGAAAGTGAATAAATCTGAAAAAGAAAAGGAATTGTTTCAGCTAGGGACATTAGTATGTGCCTATAGTCCTAACCCTGGGGAAATGAGGCAGGTAGACTGCAAGGGTTCAGGGGCTTGAATCCTTCCTGGGATGTATGGCAAAGCAAGATCCTGAATGGAAACAGAGCTAGCATACGCACTCTCTCTCTCTCTCTCTTCCCCCCCTCTTTCCCTCTCTCCTTCTGTCCCTCTGTCCTCTAATCTCTCCTCTCTCTTCCCCCACCCTATGGAAAATAGTAAAGTTGAGTTGACATGTAACATAGCTTTGAAGCTGCCCTTTGAATTTAAAATGATTTATTATTATTACTATTATTTTGTTTTTTCAAGACAGGGTTTCTCTGTGTAACCCTGGCTGTCCTGGAACTCACTCTGTAGACCAGGCTGGCCTCAAACTCAGAGATCACCTGCCTCTGCGCCCCCCCCCCCCCCCAAGCTGGGATTAAAGGCGTGTGCTACCACCCAGCGTAATTTATTTATTTTTTAAGTAGAGTCTCATTTTGTCTCTGACTGGCCTAGAACATGATATGTGGACCAGGCTGGTTTTGAACTCATAGGGATCCACCTACCTCTGTCTCCCTAGTACTTCAATTAAAGGTGTACTCCATCACGAATGGCCTTGATTTATTTTATTTATATGTGTGTGTGTTGTGTGTACATATGCATATGTACAGATAAATGCCAATGCTCCAGGAAGCTGGAGGAGTCGGATCCCCTGGCACTAGAGTTAGAGGTGGCTATAAGCCACCCTGTGTGGCATAAGAGCAGTCAGCATGCTCTTGACTGCTGAGGCATCTCCCCAGCCCTCAGGCTGTCCCTGACTCTTCGGCGATGCTGTCAGGTGGTGATGGCTTAGAACCCCACATATGTACGTGCTGCTCGTTTCCTTGCAGGTCATTGAGGCTGAGCTTCGTTCCACCAAGTGCTGGGAGCTGACTGCTGAGGGTGAGGAGATTGCCCGGGAGGGCAGCCATGAGGCCCGTGTGTTTAGAAGCATCCCTCTCGAGGGCCTGGTGCAGAGTGAGCTCATGGTAGGGTCCAGGGCTCAGGTCCAGGGAGGGGATGGGATGCAGGTGGCCCTGGTATAGAGCACTCACCACAGTCCCACTTCCCTAGCGGCTGCCCATTGGCAAGGTGGGCTTCAGCAAGGCCATGTCCAACAAGTGGATCCGAGTGGACAAGAGCGCGGCCGACGGGCCCCGGGTGTTCCAAGTGGTGAGTCCCGTAGGCAAATGGCCAGGCTGGCTGGAGGCAGATAGAAGAGCAAGTGGGACAGACACCAGCCCTCATTCCCTCTGTCCTCTGCCAGGTGGACAGTATAGAGGACGAAGTACAGAGGCGGTTGCAGCTGGTCCAGGCACGCCAGGCTGAGAAGCTGACTGAGAAGGAAAGGAATGAGCTCCGGAAGAGGAAGCTGTTGACTGAAGTGTGAGTGACTGCCATAGCCACGCCCCTTGCCTGTGAGGACAAAGGAAGGGGGCTGCCTACCGGTACCCTGTTGCTGCTATTTCACCAGACCCCCATTTATACAGGGTTTTGTCACTGTTCTTTGGTTCCTTGGTTTTGAGACAGGGTCATTCTATGTAGTCCTGGCTAGCCTGATGTTCACTATAGTTCAGGCTAACCTGGGATTTGCCGAGATCGGCTGGTCTCTGCGTCCCCAGTGCTGGGATTAGAGGCATGGATCTAGCCCTCTGCAGGGTCTTGAGTACGTGTGCTGGGCTCAGGCAGCCCTCAGGGCTTTGTGCTCTTGCTGCACCTGCTGCTGAGAAATGGCTTCGTGTATCCCCTTCCAGGCAGCCAGCCCATTCAATTCCTGCTCATGTGTCACTCACGACAGGCCACACTGAGTTAGATTTGGTGTTGCATACTTGTGCAGCTGAGACAGGAGAGTTCCAGGCCAGCCTGGCGTATACAGTGAACCCTGCCTCGTAGAACTTTTAAAGCCTGGGATTGTAGGACTACCTGATGGAAGTCCAGGCTCCACACTTCTTTAGCTGAAGTTTACAACTTGGCCAACTCTTTTGGCTTTCCTCAGCTCAGCTTCCTTATGCATAAAATACCTTCTCAGAGGGTTGTGAAGTAACAGATCCTGACCTAAGATAAACTCGCAGTGCTTTCCTAATATCATCATGCCCCTCTGTATGCATCACTACTTGAATGGACCCTGGTACAAATTAGATTCCTGGTGTTAAACAGTGAATAAATGCATGAACAGGTAGATGGGTAGTGGC